ATATGTGCAGCCAAAATATAATTGAGGATGAGCAACATTTTGTAATGAAATGTCCAGCTTACAGTCATCATAGGGACGAATTATTCCTGACTGCACAAAATAAAGTTCCAAATTTTGATAAAGAAAATAATCAGAATAAATTCATTTTGATTATGGCAAACCATACTCTAGCACACCAGCCTTAGCTGTCTTCTTAAAAAACAGCTATGGAACAAAACAGCAACAACTATCAGTGTATTAGGTTACATTTTGTGTTCATTCTATTTTCTGTATTCACCATTGGCTGCAAATTGTCTTTATTGTTTATTCATATTTGTTTTTGATTTGTTTTATATTTTTAGAAAAAAAATGGTTTTTCTTTTCTTTTTAGATTATAGTTTTTTAATTATTTTCTGTAAGACCCTTTTTATTCTTTCCTAAGGAATTTATGCGTCAAATAAAAATAACATTATCAACAGTTTGCTGATTTCATTTCAACTTGATATTAACATCACTCATGGTGGGTTACTAAATATGTAAATAGCCATGTCATTTTATTACCTTGCCCATATCAAAGGTCTAGGTATATGAAGAAAAACTGTCTGTCCTCATTGTTGGCATTTTTGACTCTGTTGTAAATGTTAAGGACTTACATGTACGTACAGTCCATGGTACTCTATTAGGTCAAGCACTGAATTCTCAAATTCTAACTTAAGTGAATGGTCAGAGAAATTTTGCTTGTGCTCCTGATGACAACTTACATACATGTATGCTGTGTAATGCAAATATCTAAGTTATATTTTGTTATAATACAATAAAAGTAAACACTAACAGAGAAAAATTAATAAACAGTCCTGTAAATGGGAATAAAAAAACTACTACACAAACTGGATGTCAAATTAGTTGTTTCATGTTTATTTAGTTTTTACTTTAAATTACCTTTTAGGTGGATTTTGGTTGTCTACTCAGTTACCTTAGTGCAAAAAGATTAATTGAGATATTTGCATCAATGATCCTGGAAAGAAGAATTATATTTACAGCTCGGAAACTAAGGTATGTTTACTCTATGTATTGTGTGCCTTTTTGACTCCCGTGTGCAAAGCACACAATGGGAGTCCTTGCAGTTAGTGTTCTATGTGTGTGTCTGTTCAATTGATATCTCAAGAACTAATTACCAGATGTTAATGAAACATGGTACATAAATGTTCTGGGATAATGTGCAGACCTGTTTAGTTTTTGGCTGAAATCCATGCATATTAGAGACATTAAGATGCGTGTACGAGAACAAAACAAGAACGTATACGTCATTGCTTTGTGCATGACCTCCGCGCTTACCAATGACGTCATCAGTTGCCAGGTCGTACCGCAGTCATTTTAAACGTGATCAAGGTGACTGACTCGTAGATGATTTTCAAGAGCTTTTCTTGCTGTCAATTTTGATTAATTTTCACTGACATTGATAGAACGTTTTATATTAGTGATTGTGTATATTAAGAAATATCGAATGCATTTTAGCTGAAATTTATACCCACTGAAAACGTACACAACTGGTCAGCTCGTTATGTAAGCAAAGCATACATTGCCAGGCATTTATGTTCACTTTCTCAAAAGGTGACATATACTAACCAGTTACTATAGTTTGAACGAAATGATTTGTTCTTAAACATTTTAAATTGACCATTCCCGCGAAGAGACATGTATTTAGATGGATGGTAATGCATGACATTGATCTGCTGAAAAAGAATTTGGCAAACAGACCTGGGACATCAGCAGAGCGAGAGCTCTGTCAAATGGTTGGGAACTAACTATTAATTCAGATTCCGGATGTTAAATGACATAACAAATTTTATTGGATAGTTATATTATGGTTGCCCAATGAGAGACTGGTTTACACGGTTCTGTTTCAGTTATGTTCCCATTGTGGATGCTTGCACTTAATCATTTTCTGACACCAAAAAATGTAACGCAAATGAAATTAGAACATCACCTTACGTTCCTGCTACGTATGCAAATCTTAAACTCTCTATCAATTACCTACGGTAATTTGCATATTAATTAACTAAATTTAAGCATTTTCACTTGTTTCTCATGTACTATTGAATAGATTTCATATGAAACTTGGTACATAGATATCTTGGGATAATGCACAGACCTGATTATTTTTGGTTGAAATCTGTGCATATTAATTACCCAGTTTGCATATCAATTAATTAGGCTTTTCACTGGTTTCTTATGTACTACATTTTTTTATTACACAGATTTCAATAAAACTTGGTACATAAGATGTTCTTGGACAATGTGCAAATACATGTTTAGTTTAGAGCTAAATTTTACTTACTAATTATCTAATATGCACAAATTAACCAAAAAACATTGTATACACACTGTAGGTGCTCCACAAAAATCCATGTCTGAAAAGATATGTGACCAAACTATTGAGTCATCATATATGGTCATTATTTCATTAATTATTTATAATTGTTAAAGCATAGCTACTTGCAACCACACTGACCTATTAGAAGCACATGTACTTACTGTAAAAATAAAGGACAATGACAGGTCCATGGTCAAAATAATAATACATGTACCTTTTAAGTGAGACAAACTATGGTGTCACACCAATTATTATCACTGCTATGGTGTCACACTAATTACTATCACTGCTATGGTGTCATACTAATTACTATCCCTGCTATGGTGTCATACCA